TAAAAGTATAGAAGAAAAAAGAAAAAAAAAAAAAAAAAGGACTGGGCCTCGGGAATCTTACAGAAGAGACGCAGAGTGATCGTGGTTGAGAGCGAGAGCCTTTCTTCTCGCTCTTCTTCTTCTTCTTCTTCTTCCTCTCTCCCTGTTCATCTCTTACCAGTTGCTACCAAAAAACACGGACCAACGAAAACCTCCCCGGCATCATGAACCACGACTCCAAGCGAAGCAATCCTTCTCTAATGGTCAAGCCTGAATCTGAGGATCGCAAACCCTCCTCTGCTGCTCCCGTCGGCAAGAAAATCGTCATCAAGAGCGCTGATATGTTCGGAGACATGCAGAAGGAGGCTGTCGACATTGCCATAGCCGTTAGCGATTCTTTCTCTTGAAATAACTACTCATAATCTCTTAGAAAATCTGTTCCTTAAGTAATTACGTCAGAATCTGTTTTGTTTTATTGTTGTTTAGGCATTTGAGAAGCATTCCGTCGAGAAGGATGTCGCTGAGCAGATTAAGAAGGAGTTCGATAAGCGGCATGGTCCGACCTGGCATTGCGTCATCGGTCGTAATTTTGGTAGCGTATTTCACTCTCTCTGTGAATCTCTAGCTTCTTGATTAATTTTCCCTTTATCTCAGTCTGATGGATCAAATCGTTATGAAGTTCTGTTGCTTTAGTCCCTTAGAAAAGATTGTGTTACCTCTAGTTCGATCTTTAGCTTATTTCCCCTACTGAAATGGAGATCTACCTTTTAATTCTGTTCTTTTTCGGGATTCAGACACCAATAGCCCGGTTCTTCTTTCAGGCTCCACCACTAAGCAGGAGCAAGATTTGTCTGCATAGGCAGTTTTAGCCCAGTTGTGTTAAGTACATTCAAATTACATATATTCTTGCATCACTAGATTAGTGGCTCTATTGGAGGAACTCTTTATTGAATTTGCTAGCTAATTCTCAGCTAAAGCAATCTAAAACAACCTCAATGGATTCTGCTATGGTGGAAACCAGTGGGTGGGGGATCCTCCATGAAACTTGATGATGGGGCCATCTAACTTAGGGGTATAGGACCGTTTGGAACTATGCGAGTTGAATCTTAGGCTCAAGTGTTCTATAGGGACAAAGACGGATTTGTTTTGAATAGTACTTTTGGGTTCAAATCTTCCCATTGTTCTTTTGGCACTTATAAACTAGCTGACTTCACTGTGATATTGTCTCTTGAGTCATTCTGGTATCTGTAATCTATATGGTTCTGTTCTGTATGCTCAGTGAAAGGTAGGAATCACGATATATGTTTCATGTTTAATTGAAGCATAAAATGTTCAGTTCTTGGTACTTTTGGGATGTAAGGGACTGCTTTGATGAGATACAGGAAGGTGATCTGCAATCTCTTTTTTTCTGTGTGCTGTTAGGGAAACAGACAATTCTTATAGGCAAAAGGATAAAATGTTGTGATCACACGGACCAAGAGCCTTGCTAATATAAGATTTAAACATGCCATTCTAACGCTAAATACTTTTAGCGTAATTTGGTATGTATCTTGTAAGTGGGCAGTGCTACCTCTCTTCGTTTCCGTTACCTTATAGTGCCAGAAACGTTCCTTTATATGGCCAATCTATTCATTCCAAGCCTTGAAACATCCCGATGGTATTAGTGATCCATTTAGTTTTTATCATTTTGGCTGAGCGAACTCAGTTGTTAGCAGTACACTCCTAGCTGTAAAAATTGCAAGCTCTTGTGGTTATTATGTTAGCAGATGAAAATACCCTATAGTTCCAGTTGTTGAAACTAATACTAGCTAATAATAGAATAGAATTTGAATTGGTTTCAAATTCAAATTCATCCACAAAAATCTCTCAACCGACTACGGAATCACCCTAGAAAATCTCAACCAACTCTGGAATCCCCTATAAAAGGACCTCCCTCCCCATCATTCAAATCACTCCTCCTCTCAATCTCAATTCAGTTTTCTGTTGTCACTAACAACTGGTATCAGAGCCAGGTTGACTGTTCGACGCCCGGGGAAGGCCCCCGAAGGAGCCGTTCCCAGTCCGTCCCCCGGCCGGCACGCAGCGACCCGCTCTCGCCGCGGGAGTAGCTCGAGCAGTCCACCAACAGCCGACGGGTTCGGGACTGGGACCCCCGTGCCCAGCCCTCAGAGCCAATCCGCCATCCCGAGGTTCGACGGTCACTATGATCATTGGGCGATGTTGATGAAAAATTTTCTCAGATCAAAGGAGTTCTTTGATATGGTGGAAACAGGTTATGAAGAGCCAAAGAAGAGGCAGAGGTCGTGAGAGAGGCAGTCGAGAAAGAAGTGGAGATGTTGGCAGGTCAGCAGACCTAGTCAGAAACGATTATGACAACAAAGGCAAGAGACACTTTGACAAGTCTAAGGTGGAATGTTACAGATGTGGACGCCTTGGACATTACAAAAATGAATGTTATACCAGGCTCCAGGCTCCAAAAGAAAAAAAGAAATCAATCCAATTTTGTGGAGAGAAGAGAAGAAGAAACATTATTAATGTCATGCTATGAAGGTTGCAGATCAAGGTGTATGGGTCGTAGACTCTGGATGCAGCAATCATATGACAGGTTGTAAGAAATTCTTCTCAACTTTAGATGAAAATTTTCATACTACGGTCTCTCTTGGCAACAATCCATCTCTCCAAGTGATGGGGAAAGGAACCGTAGATATCAAGACTAGAAATGGCTTTGTAGAGTCTATTTCTAATGTATTTTACATTCCTGATCTGAAGGCAAGGGTATGTGATCACATTCCAAAATGATGAATGTGAAATTTATGACTCCACAAGAAGCATGGAGCGGAAGAAAACCTGCAGTAGACCACTTTAGAATCTTTGGGTGCATAGCATATGCACACGTTCCTGATGAGAAAAGGAAGAAATTTGAGGACAAGAGTTCGAAGTGTGTGTTCCTTGGAGTAAGCGAGACCTCTAAGGCATACAAACTCTACGATCCTTTGACAAAGAAGGTGGTGGTGAGTCGTGATGTAGTCTTTGACGAAAATAAGACTTGGACATGGGAAGAAAAGATCACTGTGAATCAGCAGATTCCTGTAGATCTTGAAGAAGAACAAACTGAAGCTCCTATTCAGCCTCACTATGAGCATGGAGAGAGCTCATCACAAGCTCAACAAGAAGAACCAGTAGAAGAAGATCATGATCAAAATCAAAGACATCCAAGAACAAGAAAAAGACCAAACTGGATGATTGATTATGAGATGGATTATGAATCAAGTGATAGTGGTTATTTTGCATTCTTTATGGATAGTGATCCAATTGTCTATGAAGAGGCAGTAAAAGAGAAGAAATGGAAGGAAGCTATAGACAGTGAAATCAAATCCATAGAGAAGAACAAGACTTGGGAGCTCACTGATCTTCCTAGAGGGCAGAAAACAATCGGAGTAAAATGGGTTTTCAAAACCAAGTTGAATGAAAATGGTGAGGTGGATAAGTACAAGGCGCGACTTGTTGCAAAAGGATACAAGCAAAAGTATGGAATTGATTATAAGGAGGTATTTGCACCAGTGGCACGTCAAGACACTATCAGGCTCATAATTTCTATTGCAGCACAGAAATCTTGGCCTATTTATCAACTTGATGTGAAATCAGCCTTCTTACATGGAGAGCTTCAAGAGGAAGTATATGTGGAGCAACCAGAAGGTTTTGTTCAAAAAGGCAAAGAGGAACAAGTATACAAGTTGAAGAAAGCTTTGTACGGTTTGAAGCAAGCTCCGAGGGCATGGTACAGTCGCATTGATTCTCATTTTGGAAAGATGGGATTCACTAAATGCCCGTATGAACATACGTTGTATGTGAAAACTGAAAAGGGAGGTAACATTATCATTATTTGCTTATACGTTGATGATTTAATATTTACTGGCAATAATGAAGAAATGTTTGAATTTTTTAAGAAAAACATGATGAAGGAATTTGAAATGACAGATCTTGGCTTGATGAGATATTTTCTTGGAGTAGAAGTTACTCAGACTCCTGCAGGTAACTTTATCTGTCAGAAGAAGTATGCTCAAGAATTACTTGAAAGATTTAAATTGGATGAGCGCACATTTGGAACTCCATCAGAATTGGGTTTAAAGTTGCACAAGGACATTGACGGGCGAGAGGTTGATAATAGATATTTCAAACAAATTGTGGGAAGTTTGATGTACCTAACTTCAACAAGACCAGACATCATGTATGCGGTTAGTATGATAAGTCGTTACATGGAGCATCCAACGGAAAAACATCTCAATGCAGCAAGAAGGATACTTCGTTATGTGAGAGGAACCTCTGATTTGGGGGTATTCTACAAAAAAGGAGATGATCCGAAGATAGTTGGCTATACAGACAGCGACTATGCAGGTGATATAGACGATCGTAAAAGTACTTCAGGAAGTATTTTCTTGATGAGTTCAGGAGCTATTTGCTGGTCTTCAAAGAAGCAACCTATTGTAACACTCTCAACGACAGAAGCAGAATTTGTGGCAGCAGCAGCATGCTCGTGCCAAGCAATTTGGTTAAGAAAAATGCTTGAAATTCTTAATCAGAAGCAACCAAGTACGACGGTTATATATTGTGATAATATGTCAACTATTAAGTTGTCTAAAAATCCTGTGTTGCATGGAAGGAGCAAGCACATCGATGTTCGATTTCATTTCTTGCGTGATTTGTGTAAAGAAGGCATTATTGAACTCAACTTTTGCCGAAGTGATGAACAAATCGCAGACCTATTCACAAAGCCCTTGAAACAACCATTGTTCGAGAAGCTCAGAAGAAAAAATGGGGATATGCAGAATCCAAGATGTATATCAAGAAGATGAAATGAAGTCCTAAACTGATTTAGGCAGAATTCAGTTTAAGGGAGGGTGTTGAAACTAATACTAGCTAATAATAGAATAGAATTTGAATTGGTTTCAAATTCAAATTCATCCACAAAAATCTCTCAACCGACTACGGAATCACCCTAGAAAATCTCAACCAACTCTGGAATCCCCTATAAAAGGACCTCCCTCCCCATCATTCAAATCACTCCTCCTCTCAATCTCAATTCAGTTTTCTGTTGTCACTAACACCAGTTGCTCCCGTATCTCCAAGAATGTTGCAGTGCATTGTCTTGTTCTTGACTATTGAGCTTTATTTGGTCCTATGTCCATTTCTTGCAGAGATTGTCCTACTTGAGCTTTCACTTTTGGGCTTCCCTTCTAGGTTTTAAAACGCATATGTTAGGAAAATGTTTCTACGCTCTTATAAAGAATGCTTCCTTCCCCTTTCCAAATAAAGAATGCTTCCTTCCCCTTTCCAACTGATGTGGGTTCTCACAATCCACCTCTTATGGGGGCCCAGCGTCCTTGGTGGCACACTACTCGGTGCTTGGCTCTGATACCATTTGTAATAGCTCAATCCCACCGCTAACAAATATTATCCTTTTGGGCTTTCCCTTTTGCGCTTTCCCTCAAGGTTTTAAACCGGGTATGATAGGGAGAAGTTTCCACACCCTTATAAGCAATGTTTTGTCCCGCTCTCCAACCGATATGGGATCTCACACTATTTGTGTTTTTTCTTTCCCTGAATTAAATTAATATCTCAGACGATTCTATTTACTGCTATATGTTTCAGGTTCCTATGTGACACATGAAACCAACCATTTTGTTTACTTTTACCTGGATCAAAAAGCAGTCTTACTCTTCAAATCTGGTTGATGACTGTTCTTCCCTTGGCAAAGATGCCACCAACTACTTTGGCAAGCCTGCAATCACAATGCTACGATAAGTTCTTGTATGTATAATCTATGTAAATCACTTGGTGTAGCATTTTTCAAATTATAACTAAATATATCACTGAGGGAGTAGATTAAATGGAATTCAATCTGCCATTACATAAATCTCTCAAAGGGTTTCCTTGTTGCTCTCATTAAAACAGAAGGTTGCAGTACAAAAAGGGGAGGGATGCTTGTTTTTAATGGGTTTTTGGTGGTTAAACTTTCAATTATTGGCTCTGAAATAAGCCTTGGAAGCCGATGATCTATAGAAGAGTAAATGCACCATTTTAGTACAAGATAGGGCGTAGCAATAGCAAAATTTTTTTTTTTTTTTGTACTATTGCTAAAGAAAAGGAAGGACTTAAATTAAAAGCTCTCTCTTAAAATGAGATTCTAAAAGCAGATTTCTGTTGATTCATTACTAATATTACAATGTTTTGTTCTTACACAGCTTATCAGGCCTACCCTCAAAAACTTTCTTAGGCAGGGGATGAACTTTGGGGCCTGTTTGACTACTTTCTTAGTTGAATAAATGATGCAATTAATTAGTACACCACTTTTTTAATGGTATGTTATTGTCGACTCTGAACATAAGCTTTCATGGCTTTGTTTTGGACTTTTCTAAAAAACTTTATAACAATGGTAGAGGTTAAAGCTAAATATAATTCCTAATCCAACAAAAAAAAAAAAAAAAAAAAAAAAAAAAAAAAAAAAAAAAAAAAAAAAAAA